GGAGAATATACACAGAGAGAAATTACCTAGCTTCTTGGTGTATATACACTGAGAGGTGTTCCCAGCTTCTTGGTGTATGTACACTGAGAGGTGTTCCCAGCTTCTTGGTGTATGTACACTGAGAGGTGTACCCAGCTTCTTGGTGTATGTACACTGAGAGGTGTACCCAGCTTCTTGGTGTATATACACTGAGAGGTGTACCCAGCTTCTTGGTGTATGTACACTGAGAGATGTACCCAGCTTCTTGGTGTATGTACACTGAGAGATGTACCCAGCTTCTTAGTGTATATACACTGAGAGGTGTACCCAGCTTCTTAGTGTATATACACTGAGAGGTGTACCTATCTTCTTGGTGTATATACACTGAGAGATGTACCCAGCTTCTTAGTGTATATACACTGAGAGGTGTACCCAGCTTCTTAGTGTATATACACTGAGAGGTGTACCTAGCTTCTTGGTGTATATACACTGAGAGATGTTCCCAGATTCTTAGTGTATTTATACTACGAGTAAACTTTAGTTTTGGACAATGTTCAGGGCTAAAGTGCACTTGCTGATTAGTAATACACAAGTGTCAGGGATTATAATTCCTCAGAGGTGGATACCTTTAAGCCCAACACCAAATCAACAGTCTGGATGTGTCTCGATGAGGGTCTGATCAAGGATGTCTGGATTAGATTTTTTATCCAGATTAAATTTAATTAGATTAAACATTAGATTTTTGAGTCATGATTGATTGAATGACTGCTAATATCGACATTCTTCTGTTGGTCGCATATTGGTAATCGAAACTGTGATGTCATCGGTGATTATTATGCCTCAAGATTCACCATGTGAATTATTTAATGAGAAATTGAGTGTCTATACTATACAAATTTATTGACGGACTTTTGACTGGTCCACACACTGCAATGCTCCCGTCATGACTCTCTTATTGCAGCAACCATTTGTAATTTCCAGTGATTAAACAAACTGTTAGACTATCGACCTGGCATGTACACACACACACACACACACACGCACACACACACACACACAAGTGTATAATTATAACAACAATAGCAACAAAAATATATTATTAAAGAATTTGTTTACGATCGCCATTAGTAATATTTGTTCACAAAAAACAGCAACAGCACAAAAGCAAGGAATCTAGGAAACAATATGATATGTCTTCTGTCAGCTCTGACTCTTGAGAATACTAATTATATCAACAGATATACTGGCGGATATATATATATATATATATATATATATATATATATATATATATATATATATATATATACGTATATGTAATTAAATGAAAGGTATTTCGCCAGTGGGTTGATATAACATCTAAAAAAAATTCTTTGTCACTTATAGCCATAAATATCGCTACATGTTCAACCATATAATGTATGTACAAATTTCATTTAAAAATAGGTCCAGTGGAAATCATATGAGTTGCATTTGTTAAACAGTTTTCACTCTAAACCAATATACCATTCAATATCTCCATTTCATGTCTCTCATTGTTAGATTATTTGGAGTGCTTCAGAAACCAGTCTGTATATAGGATAGCCATAGCTTGTGGCTTAATTGTTCCTTCACAATTTCACTGAGGTCAATAAATAAAAAATTACAAGATGTCTTGATTTGATCAATGTTTTTTTCATATATAATTACTGTTTTATGAATGTCATTATTGTATATCATGAATTTTCTCCGTTTTATTTGTTAAAACTGTGCCCTTCGTATCAATCTGCACAAGTAATTGGATTTTTTTTCTTATATTTCTTAAAACACATTGCTCATTCACCATCATCCAATCTCTATATTAACAAACATGCAATATTTCTATATAAACTCTCCAGATTATGCAAATATATTGTTTTATGAGTAACCCAACGTTCGTCACCTTTCTCAACACTTATCTCCACTTTCTGAACTCAGTCGTCATTCTCACATGACTATAACAAATAAATTTATTATCATAATATTTTACAAATCGTCTCAGACCCCTGAACCTACCCCAACCGCGCGCACACACACACACACACACATGGGGCCTGGCGGCTCAGTGGACAGCGTTTTGGGGGTCGTAGCTCTAATGAGTCGTAGTCCTAACTACGTAGTCTGTAGTCTGGCTGAGGCAGAAACAGATAGGCAGAGTTTCTTTCACCTTGACGCCCCTTTTCACCTAGCAGTAAATAGGTACCTGGGAGTTAGGACAGCTGCTACGGGCTGCTTCCTGGGGATGTGTGTGTGTGTGTGTTTGTGTGTATTCACCTAGTTGTGCTTGCAGGGGTTGAGCTTTGCTCTTTCGGCCCGCCTCTCAACTGTCAATCAACTATTTCTACTACAACTTTTTTTTCACACCACACACACCCCAGGAAGCAGCCCATGACAGCTGACTAACTCCCAAGTACCTATTTATTGCTAGGTAACAGGGACATAGGGTGAAAGAAACTCTACCTATCGTTTCTCGCCGGCGCCCGGGATCGAACCCGTGACCACAGGATCACGTGTACAGCGTGCTGTCCGCTCGGCCACTGGCTATGTGTGTGTGTGTGTGTACTCACCTAGTTGTGTTTGCGGGGGTTGAGCTCTGGCTCTTTGGTCCCGCCAGAGCTTTGGTCTTTGGTTTGTGTGTGTGTGTGTGTGTGTGTGTGTGTGTGTGTGTGTGTGTGTGTGTGTGTGTGTGTGTGTGTGTGTGTGTGTGTGTGTGTGTGTGTGTGTGTGTGTGTGTGTGTGTGTGTGTGTGTGAGAGTAAAATAAATTTATGCAGTAGACATAATAGAGGAAAAATATATTGATTAGAAAGGCGAGGGTCCAAGAGCTAATAGCTCGATTCTGCAGACACAAATAGTAAATGCACACACACGCACACTCACAAACGCAGATAAACAAAAACATCATTATATGTACATTAAGTTTGAACAATGGATTAGGATCTGCTTACATTGTTTTTTATATGTACAAATACATTAATAACAGAGTTATTAAGAGATAATCACCTCGTTAAGGGATTTAGCTCACATCCGGTCAACAGTTAATTGATAACTAGATTCATTAATTCAGTTCAATCCCTTTATAATCGTGACTGAATGTTGACATGTAGATGACTATGGTATTGTTTAGGCTTATTGATGCTCGCTATGGTGCTGGTTGATGGGGCTGGTTGATGGTGCTGGCTGATGATGGGGCTGGTTGATGGTGCTGGCTGATGATGGGGCTGGTTGATGGTGCTGGCTGATGATGGGGCTGGTTGATGGTGCTGGCTGATGATGGGGCTGGCTAATGGTGCTGGCTGATGATGGGGCTGGCTAATGGTGCTGGCTGATGATGGGGCTGGCTAATGGTGCTGGCTGATGATGGGGCTGGTTGATGGTGCTGGCTGATGATGGGGCTGGTTGATGGTCATCATTCATGGTGTTAATTTATTAAATAATTGTGAATGCGTTATGATGCAAGGTGTAGTGCAGTTTTAGTGCTTGAAACGGGTATGGCACGAGTACGTTCAATTAAAGAGTTTGTTGTTTGTAGTTAAGATGTGATGACAGACTATGGTGTTGGGTTAGTGATTGGTGCATAGTATAGTGACCCCCTTATTGCGTGGGGGTTGATATTCCACTGATGAGACTGTATGGTTGTGTTACAGTGGTGAGTTATAAGGCTGGTAATGCTTCCTAATATGGTGATAATACTGAGCAGATGGTGAGGTTGATTGTGTATACGTATTGTAGAATATTATGTTACGATGCTAGGTTATGGTAGCTATGATGTTGGGTTATGGTAGCCATGGTGCATGGTTATGGTAGCTATGGTGCTGGGTTATGGTAGCTATAGTGCTGGGTTATGGTAGTTATGGTGCTGGGTTATGGTAGCTATGGTGCTGGGTTATGGTAGCTATGGTGCTGGGTTATGGTAGCTATGGTGCTGGGTTATGGTGGGTATGGTGCTGGGGTATGATAGCTATGGTGCTGGGTTATAGTAGGTATGGTGCGGGGTTATGATAGTTATGATGCTGGATTATGGTAGCTATGGTGCTGGATTATGGTAGCTATGGTGCTGGGTTATGGTAGCTATGGTGCTGGGTTATGGTAGCTATGGTACTGGGTTATAGTAGCCATGGTGCTGGGTTATGGTAGCTATAATGCTGGGTTATGGTAGCCTAGGTTATGGGTTATGGTAGCTGGGATGCTGGGTTATGGTAGCTATGGTGCTGGGTTATGGTAGCTATGGTGCTGGGTTATGGTAGCTATTGTCCTGGGTTACGGAGGTAATTACTGTGTTTGTAGTGCAAGTCTTCAGTAGATGAAGACTTGCGGATGAAGTGTGAACCAACGTACATATCACTGGGATGTTCCTACAGCTGTAGGAATTATTATGACCGCCTTTGAAACGAGATTTATTTTATTCTGCCCATTAACCTCTCTCTCTCCAGCGTACCGGCCACGTTATCCCTTATTTGTTACTTGTTTAAAGACACGAAAAAAAGATTAATCATATATTGATTTATTACTATTGACCTCAGTGACCTTCTCTTGGTTAGCAAAAGATGTAACAAAATACTACAATCATTACTGTACATGATTATTAATATTGTTAGCGACCTGGACCCACGTCCCAGGAGGCCGGCCATCAGGGTGGCTTTGTCTTGTACAAAAGATTTTATCTTGCTAATTCTACATTCCTTTCCCGTTGCTAATATGGGCAGTTGGAGACCACTGCAACGAAACAGACAATTACACAGGCTACTGCAATACCTTCACCCGCTGTTTATCCTTTATACATACATATATATACATATATATATATATATATATATATATATATATATATATATATATATATATATATATATATATATATATATATATATATATATATATATATATATATATATATATATATATATATATATATATATATATATAGCTATATATATATATATATATATATATATATATATATATATATATATATATATATAAATATACATATATATATATATATATATATATATGTATAACAAGAGACCCTGGAGCAGCGACCTTTCTCTTCCAGCGCCTCAGTGTAGCGATCCAGAGGGGGAATGCCTGCTACATCCTCTGTTCCTGCCCGGCGCCGGAGAACTTTGAAAAACTTTACAGTCTCTAGGAAACAAGGTTCCCTTTATTTCCTCTTATTGTTCACATTTTGTAACCATTCAGTAATGTAACTGCGTAGCATTGTATAATAAAGTGTACAATATAAATAATAAAAAAGGGGGTGGTAGATGAAGCGAATACTCATACGTATTTAGTCAAACGTCGAGTTTTACTCTGAATACTCTTTATTTTCTTCTCCGACGCTATGGGTCCCTACAATTGCACCTGTAGGGATCCAGCAATTGTGTGTGTATATATATATATATATATATATAAATAGATAAATAGTTTCCTTAAATAGTTTATATGTTTTGTTTTCTGATTTACACTCACTTGCATCACGTGATAAAGGAAAAGGGAATTATGTCACATAGGAGACAGTACCATTATCAGTTGAAAAACAGACGAGTAACTTTGCCCTTCTTTAGCTGGAGGCACAGCAGGTTGTTCAGTGCTTTGCGCCTCAGCTTGCGAAAGAAACAACTTAGACGAGATCTAAGCCAAACATGGGTCGTGATTTCTTCCAGTGTTGTCTGATGCTGTTCATACTGTTGCCTCTTTAATAGCTGCTACAGCTGCTGCTAGCAGTATGATCCAGGGACTGCTTGGATATCAGCATGTGGTGAGAAAAATAAAACGTTACGAGACTGAAGCAGTATGCAGGATATAAATGGTGAGAGCGCGGCCTGCAGAACAGTAAAGGCAGCAGGTGACTAGTGGATGAGAAGCAGCAGACAGGGAAGCAGATCCAGGAGGTGCAGCAAGCAGGGGAGGAGGCAGGACACGCGGCTGAGGGCCCGAGGCTCCCCAGCAGACGTGCTCGCCGCATCTGTAATGTCAACAGCAGGTGTGAGTCAGGTCCTCACTTCTCTGTGTGCCAGGGATCTGTCCAGCATATCCTCCCTCACACATGGATGGGTACATGATCTCTCTCTCTCTCTCTTTGTCTGTCTGTCTGTCTGTCTGTCTGTCTGTCTGTCTGTCTGTCTGTCTGTCTGTCTGTCTGTCTGTCTGTCTGTCTGTCTATCTCTCTCTTTATCTATATCTATCTACCTATCTCAATCTATCTACCTATCTCTATCTATCTATCTCCCCTTTCTCCCTTTCTCTCTCTCATTTATTACAACAATTTATATAACAGCTTTTACCAGAAAAATTTATTCAGAAAAAAATATACACATTTCAAAATACCTTTATCCTACGAAGGAAAATGAGATATCCACTTGACAAGTGAAAGGAACAAAATTTAACTTACTAATGAGAAGAAAATTTGTTCAATGTTTGAAATAAAGACAGCAACCAAATGCCTGAATACCTTGAATATAAAGAAGACGGATTGGATGAATGAATAATTACGAATACAAGGAATGTATTGATTAATGAGAACGAAACAGATGTGTCCTTCAAGAGGGTGGCCAGCCAACTGAGCCATCCTGGCTGGTCTCAGGATGAGCAATGCATGACAGCTGACCCGTGATGAGTTGTGTGAGGAGTGAGTGTCGAGCCTCGGCAAGTAACGCCCACTCCTATGATGTAGTGGGAGACTGACATTTACGTGGTTCTGGATTGAGGGTCGTGACTCTGTTTGTGTGGGCGTAGATGTGTTTCTGTGGGAGTGGCTCTATTTGTGTGGGCGTGGTTCTGTTTGTGTGGGCGTGACTCAGTTTGTGTGGGCGTGGTTCTGTTTGTGTGGGCGTGGCTCAGTTTGAGTGGGCGTGGCTCTGTTTGTGTGGTCGTGGCTCTGTTTGTGTGGTCGGGGCTCTGTTTGTGTGGGCGTCGCTCTGATTGTGTGGGCGTGGCTCTGTTTGTATGGTCGTGGCTCTGTTTGTGTGGGCGTGGCTCTGTTTGTGTGGTCGGGGCTCTGTTTGTGTGGGCGTCACTCTGATTGTGTGGGCGTGGCTCTGTTTGTGTGGTCGGGGCTCTGTTTGTGTGGGCGTAGCTCTGTTTGTGTGGTCGGGGCTCTGTTTGTGTGGTCGGGGCTCTGTTTGTGTGGTCGGGGCTCTGTTTGTGTGGGCGTCGCTCTGTTTGTGTGGGCGTGGCTCTGTTTGTGTGGTCGGAGCTCTGTTTGTGTGGGTGTCGCTCTGTTTGTGTGGTCGGGGCTCTGTTTGTGTGGTCGGGGTTCTGTTTGTGTGGGCGTCGCTCTGTTTGTGTGGTCGGGGCTCTGTTTGTGTGGTCAGGGCTCTGTTTGTGTGGTCGGGGCTCTGTTTGTGTGGGCGTCGCTCTGTTTGTGTGGTCGGGGCTCTGTTTGTGTGGTCGTGGCTCTGTTTGTGTGGTCGTGAACCTGTGTGGGCGTGGCTCTGTTTGTGTAGGCGTGGCTCTGTTTGTGTGGCCGTAGCTCTGTTTGTGTGGTCGGGGCTCTGTTTGTGTGGTCGGGGCTCTGTTTGTGTGGTCGGGGCTCTGTTTGTGTGGTCGGGGCTCTGTTTGTGTGGTCGGGGCTCTGTTTGTGTGGTCGGGGCTCTGTTTGTGTGGTCGGGGCTCTGTTTGTGTGGTCGGGGCTCTGTTTGTGTGGTCGGGGCTCTGTTTGTGTGGTCGGGGCTCTGTTTGTGTGGTCGGGGCTCTGTTTGTGTGGTCGGGGCTCTGTTTGTGTGGTCGGGGCTCTGTTTGTGTGGTCGGGGTTCTGTTTGTGTGGTCGGGGCTCTGTTTGTGTGGGCGTAGCTCTGTTTGTGTGGTCGGGGCTCTGTTTGTGTGGTCGGGGCTCTGTTTGTGTGGTCGGGGCTCTGTTTGTGTGGGCGTCGCTCTGTTTGTGTGGGCGTGGCTCTGTTTGTGTGGTCGGAGCTCTGTTTGTGTGGGTGTCGCTCTGTTTGTGTGGTCGGGGCTCTGTTTGTGTGGTCGGGGTTCTGTTTGTGTGGGCGTCGCTCTGTTTGTGTGGTCGGGGCTCTGTTTGTGTGGTCAGGGCTCTGTTTGTGTGGTCGGGGCTCTGTTTGTGTGGGCGTCGCTCTGTTTGTGTGGTCGGGGCTCTGTTTGTGTGGTCGTGGCTCTGTTTGTGTGGTCGTGAACCTGTGTGGGCGTGGCTCTGTTTGTGTAGGCGTGGCTCTGTTTGTGTGGCCGTAGCTCTGTTTGTGTGGTCGGGGCTCTGTTTGTGTGGTCGGGGCTCTGTTTGTGTGGTCGGGGCTCTGTTTGTGTGGTCGTGGCTCTGTTTGTGTGGTCGGGGCTCTGTTTGTGTGGTCGGGGCTCTGTTTGTGTGGTCGGGGCTCTGTTTGTGTGGTCGGGGCTCTGTTGTGTGGTCGGGGCTCTGTTTGTGTGGTCGGGGCTCTGTTTGTGTGGTCGGGGCTCTGTTTGTGTGGTCGGGGCTCTGTTTGTGTGGTCGGGGTTCTGTTTGTGTGGTCGGGGCTCTGTTTGTGTGGGCGTAGCTCTGTTTGTGTGGTCGGGGCTCTGTTTGTGTGGGCGTGGCTCTGTTTGCTTGGGCGTGGCTCTGTTTGTGTGGTCGGGGCTCTGTTTGTGTGGTCGGGGCTCTGTTTGTGTGGTCGGGGCTCTGTTTGTGTGGGCGTAGCTCTGTTTGTGTGGTCGGGGCTCTGTTTGTGTGGTCGAGGCTCTGTTTGTGTGGTCGGGGCTCTGTTTGTGTGGTCGGGGCTCTGTTTGTGTGGTCGGGGTTCTGTTTGTGTGGGCGTAGCTCTGTTTGTGTGGTCGGGGCTCTGTTTGTGTGGTCGGGGCTCTGTTTGTGGTCGGGGCTCTGTTTGTGTGGTCGGGGCTCTGTTTGTGTGGTCGGGGCTCTGTTTGTATGGGCGTAGCTCTGTTTGTGTGGTCGGGGCTCTGTTTGTGTGGGCGTGGCTCTGTTTGTGTGGGCATGGCTCTGTTTGTGTGGTCGGGGCTCTGTTTGTGTGGTCGGGGCTCTGTTTGTGTGGTCGGGGCTCTGTTTGTGTGGTCGGGGCTCTGTTTGTGTGGTCGGGGTTCTGTTTGTGTGGGCGTGGCTCTGTTTGTATGGTCCTGGCTCTGTTTGTGTGGGCGTGGCTCTGTTTGTGTGGTCGGGGCTCTGTTTGTGTGGTCGGGGCTCTGTTTGTGTGGGCGTGGCTCTGTTTGTGTGGTCGGGGCTCTGTTTGTATGTTCGTGGCTCTGTTTGTGTGGGCGTGGCTCTGTTTGTGTGGGCGTGGCTCTGTTTGTGTGGACGTGGCTCTGTGTGTGTGGGCGTGGCTCTGTTTCTGTGGTCGTGGCTCTGTTTGTGTGGTCGTGGATCTGTTTGTGTGGTCGTAGCTCTGTTTGTGTGGGCGTGGCTCTGTTTGTGTGGGCGTGGCTCTGTTTGTGTGGGCGTGGCTCTGTTTGTGTGGTCGTGGCTCTGTTTGTATGGTCGTAGCTCTGTTTGTGTGGGCGTGGCTCTGTTTGTGTGGGCGTAGCTCTGTTTGTGTGGGCGTGGCTCTGTTTGTGTGGTCGTGGCTCTGTTTGTATGGTCGTAGCTCTGTTTGTGTGGGCGTGGCTCTGTTTGTGTGGGCGTGGCTCTGTGTGTGTGGGCGTGGCTCTGTTTGTGTGGTCGTGGCTCTGTTTGTGTGGTCGTGGATCTGTTTGTGTGGTCGTAGCTCTGTTTGTGTGCGCGTGGCTCTGTTTGTGTGGGCGTGGCTCTGTTTGTGTGGTCGTGGCTCTGTTTGTATGGTCGTAGCTCTGTTTGTGTGGGCATGGCTCTGTTTGTGTGGGCGTAGCTCTGTTTGTGTGGGCGTGGCTCTGTTTGTGTGGTCGTGGCTCTGTTTGTATGGTCGTAGCTCTGTTTGTGTGGGCGTGGCTCTGTTTGTGTGGGCGTAGCTCTGTTTGTGTGGGCGTGGCTCTGTTTGTGTGGTCGTGACTCTGTTTGTGTGATCGTGGATCTGTGTGGGCGTGGCTCTGTTTGAAATTGTCGCTGGGTGGGACTCACCAGGGTGTTGGGTGGCTGGGTGGGACTCACCAGAGTGTTGGGTGGTTGGGTGGGACTCACCGGGGTGTTGGGTCGCTGGGTGGGGACTCACCGGGGTGTTGGGTTGCTGGGTGGGACTCACCAGGGGTGTTGGGTCGCTGGGTGGGGACTCACCGGGATGTTGGGTTGCTGGTTGGGACTCACCGGGGGTGTTGGGTCGCTGGGTGGGGACTCACCGGGGTGTTGGGTCGCTGGATGGGACTCACCGGGGGCGTTGGGTCGCTGGGTGGGACTCACCGGGTGCGTTGGGTCGCTGGGTGGGACTCACCGGGGGTGTTAGGTCGCTGGGTGGGGACTCACCGTTGTGTTGGGTGGCTGGGTGGGACTCACCGGGGTGTTGGGTCGCTGGGTGGGACTCACCGGGGTGTTAGGTTGCTGTGTGGGACTCATCGGGGGTGTTGGGTCGCTGGGTGGGACTCACCGGGGGCGTTGGGTCGCTGGGTGGGACCCACCGGGGGTGTTATGTCGCTGGGTGGGATTCACTGAAGGTGTTGGGTGGCTGGGTGGGACTCACCGGGGTGTTGGGTGGCTGGGTGGGACTCACCGGGGTGTTGGGTCGCTGGGTGGGACTCACCGGGGTGTTAGGTTGCTGTGTGGGACTCACCGGGGGTGTTGGGTCGCTGGGTGGGACTCACCGGGGGCGTTGGGTCGCTGGGTGGGACTCACCGGGGGTGTTATGTCGCTGGGTGGGATTCACTGAAGGTGTTGGGTGGCTGGGTGGGACTCACCGGGGTGTTGGATCGCTGGGTGGGACTCACCGGGGGTGTTGGGTCGCTGGGTGGGACTCACCGGGGTGTTGGGTCGCTGAGTGGGACTCACTGAAGGTGTTGGGTGGCTGGGTGGGACTCACCGGGGTAGAGTGGGCGGGGTCTGGGGTCGACGGGCGGGGCCGGCTCCTGCACGTAGCGGTGGGGGGCGGCATCAGTGGGGGAGGCTGCTCCGGGGGGGTGAGTCGTATCTGGGGGGAAGGGTGGGGGTCATTTACTTCCCTTCAATGATGTAGAGGGGAATGATCACCTTGCTTGGCTCTAGTGCTACATCACTAATACCAACAAACAGGTCATACATCTGTAGATTGACAGTTGAGAGGCGGGACCCAAGAGCTGAAGGTCAAACCCGACAAGCACAACTAGGTGAGTACAACCAGGTGATAACTTGAAAACTATGATACATAATTACTTAATTGACGCCAAATTATTCAAAACTAACACATATATATGGTGTATAGGGAAGATGAGCAGTGGTGGTGGTTGGCATGGTCTTATATTATACAACTCTCCTTTGAATATTCTCAACCACTAATGGGAATCGTAAACAGCCTGTTCGTGGATGTTCTCCCTTGTATATCCACAGTGGGTGTTGTCTGTTGACATCCACCTGTTGACATCCAACTATCTCGTATCCACAGTGCATGTTGTCTGTTAATCTGCGATTGTCCCATATCCACATTGGATGTTGTCTGTTAATGAATGTGTCCCATATTAACTGTAGACATTTGTCTCTTGATATGAATTTGTCCCATTACGCTGTGTCTATCTCTCTTACGCTGTGTCTATCTCTATTACGCTGTGTCTATCTCTCTTACGCTGTGTCTATCTCTATTACGCTGTGTCTATCTCTCTTACGCTGTGTCTATCTCTGTCTTACGTTGCCACGACGGAGGCGACGAGGACGAGGACGAGGAAGAGGCTGCATCAGGAACCAGGTAAGTCTTCTCCAGCACCTTGCCATCATATCGTCCTTTAAGCTGGTACTGGTCTCCTTCACTCTCAGGAGACGCTGTTGTGGTACTAGTTGTGGTGGTTGTAGTAGTCGTGGTTGTGGTACTGGTAGTTGTGGTGGTTGTAGTGGTCGTGGAGAGTTCTGGAAGGAAATAGGAGAGTTACATTAAATTTATTTATCAGTTGTCCTAGATACACAGGTGACGCTCCGGAGGTGTTGGTGATTTGGTGATGGTGATTGTTGTGTGAGTGGCCATCGTGGTGATTGTTGTGTGAGTGGGCATTGTGGTGAGTGTTGTGTACTCACCTAGTTGTGCTTAAGGGGGTTGAGCTTTGTCTCTTTGGTCCCGCCTCTCAACTGTCAATCAACTGGTGTACAGATTCCTGAGCCTACGGGGCTCTATCATATCTACATTTGAAACTACGTATGGAGTCAGCTTCCACCACATCACTTCCTAATGCAAACCATTTATTAACTACTTTGACACTGAAAAAAATCTTTCCAACGTCTCTGTGGCTCATCTGGGTATTAAGTTTCCACCTGTGTCCCCTTGTTCGGGTTCCACCCGTGCTAAAGAGTTTGTCTTTGTCCACCCTGTCAATACCCCTGAGAATTTTGCATGTGGTTATCATGTCTCCCCTTACTCTTCTGTTTTCCAGGTACGTGAAGGTGTTTGTGGTGTGAGGGGGGAGGGAGGGGCATGAAGGTGATTGTGGTGTTCTCACAAATATGGAATTGGAATTCGTGAATTCGTGCAAGCAATTGCAGGCTGCAGTTGGAATATGCAAGTTGGAATTCGTGCCCAGACATACATAAAGGACATACAGACATAAAGGACATACATACATGAAGCACATACAGACATAAAGAACATACAGACATAAAGGACCTACAGATATTAAGGATATACAGACATAAAGGACATAGAGACATAATGGACATACAGACATAAATAACATACAGACATAAAGGACATAGAAACATAAAGGACATACAGACATAAAGAACATACAGACATAAAGGACATACAGACATAAAGGACATACTGACATAATGGACATACAGACATAAAGGACATACTGACATAATGGACATACTGACATAAAGGCCATACATATATAAAGGACATATAGACATAAAGACTAAAGACTTAAAGGTAAAAACTCTTTACCCCTGAATCGAGAAGTAAAGCATGGAGGTGATTGTTGTGTGAGTGGGCATGGAGGTGATTGTTTTGTGAGTGGGCATGGAGACGATTGTTGTGTGAGTGGGCATGGAGGCGATTGTTGTGTGAGTGGGCATGGAGGTGATTGTTGTGTGAGTGGGCATGGAGGCGATTGTTGTGTGAGTGGGCATGGAGGTGATTGTTTTGTGAGTGGGCATGGAGGCGATTGTTGTGTGAGTGGGCATGGAGGTGATTGTTGTGTGTAGGTGGGCATGGAGCTGATTGTTGTGTGTAGGTGGGCATGGAGGTGATTGTATTACAGATGGTTTCAGGAACAGTGGTAGAGGTGATGGTGTTGTGGCGACTACTGTGGACAGTAGTACTCAGCTGGCTGTGCTTGTGGGGGTTGAGCTCTGGCTCCTTGGTCCCGCCACAGATAGTAGTCTGGTGGTAGTGTCTGTTGTATGAGTAGTGAGTGTGAGTGCCGTGAGAATGGTGGTGGTAGGAGAGTTATGGTGAGAGTGGAAGGTATGGTGACGATGTTGATAGTTGTGGCAGTGGTTGAAGTGCTACCAGTAGAGTACAGGTGGTAGTGGTAGTAGCACTTAGTACTGGTGATGGCAGTGACACAGTAGAAGTTACGGTGGGTAGACGTAGTAAGCATGTAGCGACGGAACGTAGTAAGTAGTAAGCATGTAGATGTTTTGGGTGAGGTGGATATTAACAGAGGAACTGTTAGAAAGAATATCAACTGAACAAGGGGGGGACGGATGGAAGTTTGAGACTCAGATGGAAGCTGTTAAGAAGATAATTAAGAAGATGCTCAGATAGGGTTATTAAGAAGTGTTCTTTTATCTTAACGGTAGTGAGTAAATGGAATGATCTAAAGGAGCAGGTTGTAGAGGCTAACTCCATTCATAACTTTAAAGTAGGTGTGATAGGGAAATAGGCCAGGAATCATTGTATTAGACAACCAACGGGTAAAAAAGCGGGGTCCGAGAGCTAGAGTTCGATGCTGCAGGCACAAATAGGTGAATATACACACACACGCACGCACAAGCACATGCATACACACACACACACATCTAGCGTCAAATACATACCTAGTCAAACACAAGACTATGTTAGAGAAAGTTGTGAGGTATGCCACCAGACTAGTCCCGGAGCTGAGGGGTTTGCGTTATGATGAAAATAAACTGGTATTAAACCTAATATCACTGGAAGACAAAAGAGGAATGGGAGACATGAGAACCACCTACAAACTTCTTAGAGGAATTGACACTGTAGATAAAGATTATTTAGCATGGGTGGTACACGAACAAGGGTGCAGAGGTCGAAACCTAGTTATCAAATGAGCCACAGAGACAACAGAAAGATTTTTTCAGTGTTAGGGTAGTTTCTCAACACATGGAATAAATTAGAAAGTGATGTGGTAGAGGCAGACACAATCCACAGTTTCAGATACGTAAAGCCCAATAGTCTCAGGAACCTGTATACTAGTTGACTGAGAGTTGGCAGGCGGGAGCAAAGAGCCGAAACACAACCCCCTGCTAGCACAACAAGGTGAATACGCTCACATACATATACATATCATCTCCCCACACAGTGGTGCTCCAAATAATTACTCCCACGACAAGGTAATTATCGTACCAAGTCAGGCCTAGTTGCCAACTCATAAATAGTGTGGACAATTTCCCGTGTCTGTCAGCGTCGTAAAGTTGAATGTCGGGACCTGTGTCTCACAGCTGGTAAATTCTTGTACATAGTTCCGGCTCCTCTCTCTTGGTATATTTGCGTCTGTCTCTTTCACTGTCTCCTTTTTTATGCACGTTTAATATTCATATTTGTCAGTGTCAGTCTTCTATGAATGATTGCATGTATATATGTACATATGAATTTATGTATGAATGCATATATGCACGTATGTATCAACTTATCAATGTATGCATGAATCTATGGATGCATATACACAGAAATCATAATACCGTGATGCATCAAATCCACAAGGGCCATGATGAGGGTTCGAAGATGACTTCAACTTCATCGTGATGATGACGTACAATTCTTTTAACCATATCGTGGCCTAGTGGTCTAAGGCAGCGTCTGGGATCATCCCGGGCGTAAGTTCGAACTCTCATTACGGCTCTTGTGGATTTGTTTCTATGTATGCATGTTTTGACTACTTGTGTCTGCATTATCAAACAGTTAGCTCTTAGACTCCCGCCTATCTAACCGTAGGTTGTCTAATGTGTTGATTTCCTGCTCAGTTTTCTCTATCATATTTAATACATACATTTTTCTCACACACACAGTCCCCAGGATGCAGCCCGTAGCAGCTGTCCAACTTCTAGGTACCTTTTTACTGTTAGGTGAACAGAGGGCATCAGGTGAAAGAAACTCTACCAATTTGTTTCCAACTGGAAATCGAACCCGGGCCCTAAGGACTACGACCCCAAAGCGCTGTCTACTCGGCAGTGGGGACCATTATTTTTTGCATGTTTGAATGTACATAAAATTGTCTTCATAACAATGTATTCTCTTTCTGCTTTCTATTTTTAATACTAATGAAATAATCAAGTGGCGAAACTGTTTAACAAATTTAAAAAGTATTAAAATACAGTAGTTTTCATGTAAATATGTAACATAATTATGTAGAAACATCACAGACTTGCAGAAGGTCTGTAAGGGGTGAGGAAGAAAGTTTATCAATATCTGCTGACAACGAGGAAGACAGTTTTTTGGTTGTAATATTTTGTCGCGTTTTGTTCCTGGAGTTATATTGATACATTTGCCTCTCCACCTACCCTCCTCCCATATTCCACTCACCAACCACACATCACCCACCCACCACTCATAGTCCACCCCAGATACCACCCCACTCTCCACCTACACTGCCCACGCACCTCCCACACTCCACCTACCTACCACCCCACGCCAACCACTAGCTAAGCATATATTACCCACCATATCCGTCCAGACATCACCCACACACTCCATTGTGCATCTACCTTCAATAAGCCATTTATTTTTTCTACAAACTCCTACTCTTCCTGCACCTTTTGCCCAACCAATTGAACTGGACGGCAGAGCGAAGGTCTCGCTTCTTAAAGGTCGGCGTTCAATCCCCGACCATCCAAGTGGATGGACACTATTCCTTTTCTGCGTCCAATTATAATTCCTTATCCTCATATCCGTTCCCTTCGTTATATTGCCGTAATGATCTAGTGGTTTATCCTGACAATTACCTCTCCCTGCACCTTGCTCCACTCTCCCTCCACCCTTCAATCCACACTTTACCGCCAATTCGTCCACTATTCAATTACCTTTCACTCGCCTCTCATCGCCCCCCTTCCTGCTAACACTCAATCCATAATTATATCCTACTCCATCTCTCTATATCCCATGTCCTTCATCCTCCCCTTCCACCAGGAATCCATCTACTCTACCAACCATTCGTTTACCCTACCGGTAAGCCAACCACTCCGCACTGATAATGTACCCACCCCATACACCTTCCTCCTACCACACGGACCATCCCCCCGACCATTCCCTTATTCCTTCGACCATCCACCAACCTCACCGTCTAGCCAACCAGCCTTACTCCTATTTTTCTCTTCCCTTAATAACACCATCAAGACATTTATTCCTCGTTATCTTCTCTACGTTATTCCCCAACGTCGAACACGACAATGAAATATATCTCTAGCTACAAGAAGTGCAGGTAGCTGGCACTCACGAAATAAGCCATCTGAACATTCAGTGATTTTTAAAGAAATTTTTGTCACAATAGGGTTATTAGTATAAATTCGATGGATGGTTACTGCTGAATGGATCCATAGTTTAAGTGGGAATATTGGGAGTTTGTGTTGGTGTTGTGAGTTATGTTTACCCGTCAGTGGGTCTGTCTCTGTTGCTCGCCAGCTCTGTTTCTCTTCATCTGTCTAGGAGTATCCTTCTGTGTC